CTTTAACCTTCTGTCTGCCTCAGTTTCCTCAACTGTACAATAGGGATAATAATGCCACCAAACCTCTAAGGTTGGTGTGAGGATCAAATAAGATAAATTTATTAAACACTTTTTTATTGTGTCTGGCATATAATATGTACTTAATAAATTCTTACTTACCTTCTTGTTATGTGAACAAAATGTATTAAAAATTAGTAAGTGGGATAGTGTAAAGTACACTGAACTAGAAATGCCTATAATATATAAATGCTATATTTAACTTTTCCATATTACTAATACATAAAAGCCCATAAATGCTTGTTTCCTTCCTTTCCGTAAGAACAGAACAGAGATTGGAACCCAAAGTTTTAAAAACGAATGTTAAAAAAAATTGTTTCCACAAGTAATTGGGAAATAAGATATACAGGAAATGGGGTATGGAAATCTATCCTGCCCTACAGGAAAATTGAAGGGGAAGGGGATAAGAGAAGGGGGGGGAGAGACAGAAGGGAGAGCAGACTAGAGGAAGGGGTATTCAGAATGCATGCCATCTTGGGGTGGGAGGAGGGATGAGATAGGGAGAAAATTTGGAACTCAAAATCTTGTGGAAGTGAATGCTGAAAACTAAAAATAAATTAATTAAAAATAATAAAAAAAGAACAGCACAGAGAGTGTGTCATAGTGTCAAGATCTGATCCCAGATTTCTTTTCATGCATATCTATTGCCCTTTCTACTGCAGCAGAGTATTTATCTTTATTTAATTAACAGAATTTAGGTAGTGAAATCAACTAGTGAATTAAGAATTATGAAACAAATTTTAAAAATTAAAACCCAATCAACTTAAAAATGAAAATTTAATCAACTTTTTTTAAAATCAGTGAAAGTGACTTATAAATTAAACTTACTGCTTTCTTATCCCAAAGTCAATTCTCCTTTTTTTCCCTCTAGTTTGGCACACAGAAAATGTGGGCTTTTTTTTTTTTCAGATAGATCTGCTTACCAGAAGTGGGTTCTAATTGGACACAATGAAGAGCACTGGGTAGAAGCTGCTGACAGATTGATTTTATCTTGGTGTAAGGAAAAAATTCCTAATAATTTGAGCTTCCAAAAGTAGAATGGGCTCCTATAGATGGTGATAGGAGCAACTAGATGGCACAGTGGATAGAGAACTAGGCCCAGAGTCAGGAAGACCTGAGTTCAAATCTGACTTCAGGCATTTACTAGATGTGTGACCCTGGGCACTTAACCCTGATTGCCTCAGTTTCCTCATCTACAAAATGAGTTAGAGAAGGAAATGGCAAACCACTCCAGTATCTTTGCTAAGAAAACCCCAAATAAGGTTTTTAAGTAGAGATTCAATGACTTGATCACCTGTTAGGGATATGTTCATGCATAGGTTGGGCTAAATGACAACTAAGGTCCGTTCCAACACTACCACTATATGATTCTGGGTTCCTTTCTACATAAGGGCCCAACACGTATACACTTGGCTGGAAATAACTAAAAATTGATTCCTGCTTATCTGATGGAAACACAAAGAAGCAAATATAAGAT